GCCCAAGGTGCTGCTGCTCGACGAGCCGCTGTCGGCGCTGGACTTCAAGCTGCGCAAGGAGATGCAGGTCGAGCTCAAGCGCCTGCAGCGCGAGACCGGCATCACCTTCGTGTTCGTCACCCACGACCAGGAAGAAGCGCTGACCATGTCGGACCGCGTCGCGGTGATGTCCGACGGCGAGGTGCAGCAGGCCGGCAGCCCCGGCGAGATCTACGAGCGCCCGGTCAACCGCTTCGTCGCCGACTTCATCGGTGAGACCAACTTCCTGGCGGCCGAGGTCGCCGAGCGCGGGCGGCGCTACCGCCTGCCCGGCGGCGCCCTGCTGTCCGGCCACGATCCGCACGACCATGCCGAGGGCGAGCGGGTCACCCTGGCGCTGCGCCCGGAACGCGCGGACCTGACGGCCGAGGGCGAGGCGGATCTGGCCGGCCGGGTCGAGCGGGTCATCTACTTCGGCACCGACACGCTCTACTTCGTGCAGCTCGACGGCATTCCGGGGGAATTCCAGGTGCGCGTGCAGAACCGCGACGGCGCGGCGGCCGAGGTCGCCGCCGGCGCGCGGGTCGGCCTGCGCGTCGCCCCGGAGGCCGCGCAGGTGCTGGTCGACTGATGGCCTCCGCCGTCGCCTCGCTCGCCGACCTGCTGCGCCGCAACCGGGCCGCGCGCCTGGTCGCGCTGATCGCCCCGGCGCTGCTGATCATCGGCGTCTTCATGGTGCTGCCGCTGGGCCTGATGGCCTACGTCTCGATCCTCGAGCGCGGCATCAACGGCGGCGTGCAGTGGGGCGTCCACACGGTCGAGGCCTATATCGCCTTCGTCTTCGAGGAGAACCTGCTCGGCGAGCTGGCGCTCAATCCGGACTACATCCAGATCTTCGCCCGCTCCTTCCTGCTGTCCTTCGTCACCATGGCGATCTGCTTCGCCATCGGCTTCCCGGCCGCCTTCTACATGGCGCTGCAGCCGGAGAAGTACCGCAACCTGCTGATCTTCCTGGTGACCATTCCCTTCTGGACCAACCTGCTGGTGCGCAACTACGCCTGGATCCTGCTGCTGCGCAGCAACGGGCTGGTGAACGAGGGGCTGTTGGGCCTGGGCCTGATCGACGCGCCGATCACGCTGCTCTACACCAACGTCGCCATCGCCATCGGGCTGGTCTACTCCTTCCTGCCCTTCATGGTGCTGCCGATCTACGCCAGCCTGGAGAAGATCGACCTGCGCCTGGTCGAGGCGGCCTTCGACCTGGGTGCCAACAAGCGCCGCGCCTTCGTGCGGGTGATCGTGCCGCTGGCGCTGCCCGGCATCGCCGCCGGCTGCATCCTGGTCTTCATCCCCTCGCTGGGGGCCTTCGTGACGCCGGAGCTGCTCGGCGGCTCCAAGTCCATGATGATCGGCAACCTGATTCAGAGCCAGTTCGGCGCCGCGCGCAACTGGCCGCTGGGCGCCGCCCTGGCCTTTGCGCTGCTGGCCATCGTGCTGCTGGCGATGATGGTCTATCTGCTGCGCTTCCGGCGCCCGCCGAGCACGAGCTGAGCGGGAGCGAGATGCTGAAGCGCAACAGGAACCCGCTTTGGAGGTTTCCCGGCGTCGGGCCGGGGGCGGCCTTCTTCTTCGCCTATCTCTATCTGCCGATCGTCATCCTGATCGTCTTCTCCTTCAACGAGAACCGGCAGGCGACGATCTGGACCGGCTTCTCGCTGGACTGGTACCGGGTGGTGCTGGGCAACGACGACATCCTGGCGGCCGCCGGCAACTCCCTGATCGTCGCGACCACGGCCACGCTGATCGCCACTTTCGCGGCGCTGCTGGCGGCGCTGGGGATGGCGCGCGGTCGCTTCCGCGGCCAGGACGCGGTCAACGCGACCATCGCCTTTCCGCTGGTCATCCCCGAGATCGTCACCGCGGTCGCCACGCTGCTGTTCTTCGTCGTGCTCGGCATCCAGCTCGGGCTGACCACGGTGATCATCGCCCACACGGTCTTCTGCATCCCCTTCGCCTATCTGCCCATCCGGGCGCGGCTGGAGGGCATGGACCGGGCGCTGCCGGAGGCGGCGGCGGACCTCTATGCCAACGAGGTGCAGGCCTTCCGGCGGATCACCCTGCCGCTGCTCTGGCCGGGCATCCTCTCCGGCGCGATGCTGTCCTTCATCATCTCGCTGGATACCTTCACCATCACCTACTTCGTGGCCGGCCCCGGGGCGACGACCCTGCCGGTCTACATCTTCGGCATGATCCGCATCGGCATCACGCCGGAGGTCAACGCCATCTCGGCCCTGATGATGGTGGTCTCGATCCTCTTCGTCACGCTGTCGTTCCTGGTGGGGCGCCTGAAGCGTTGACCTTCGTGCGGGGCCGGCGCAACGATCCGGCTCCGGCTCGATCCTATCCAACCGAGGACTGGGAGTGCTCTGACAATGAAGAAGACTCTGACCGCGGCCGTCGCCGCGGGGGCCTTGCTGGCCGGTGCCGGCACGGCCCAGGCCAAAGGCGAGCTGTTCCTCTACAACTGGTCCAACTACTTCCCGCCGGAGCTGTTGACCAAGTTCGAGGAGGAGACCGGCATCTCCGTCACCCTCGACGTCTACGATTCCAACGAGACCATGCTGGCCAAGCTGCAGGCGGGCGCGGCCGGCTACGACATCGTGGTGCCGACCGGCTACATGGTCGAGATCATGGTCGACGAGGGGCTGGCGCTGGAGCTCGACACGGCCTCCATGCCGAACTTCGCCAACGTGATGGCGCCGCACGACTCGCCGGTGTTCGACCCCGAGCGCAAGTACTCGGCGCCCTACATGTGGGGCACCACCGGCGTCAGCTACGATTCGGCGCGCGTCGAGGGCGAGCTGCCGGAGTCCTGGGGCCCCTTCTTCGAGCCGCCTGAAGCGCTGCAGGGCGAGATCGGCGCGCTCAACGACGAGACCGAGCTGTACAACGCGGCCGCCTACTACCTCGGCCTCGACAAGTGCACCGAGGACCCGGCGGAGGCGCAGCAGATCCTCGACCTGCTCGAAGCCCAGAAGCCGCACCTCAAGATGTACCAGTCCGACGGCACGATCGACCGCATGATCGCGGGCGAGGTGATCATGCACCAGCAGTGGAACGGCGCCGCGCACCGCACCAAGGCCGAACTGCCGACCGCCGTCTTCGTCTACCCGAAGGAAGGCATCACCTTCTGGACCGACAACTTCGTCGTGCCCAAGGACGCGCCCAACGTCGAGAACGCCAAGACCTTCATCAACTGGATGATGGCGCCGGAGAACATCGCGGTGGCGACCAACTACACCGGCTACATGAACGCCATCCGCGGTTCGGTCGACTATCTCGACGAGAGCCTGGCCAACGACCCGGCCGTCAACATGCCGGAGGCCTACGCCGACCGCCTGCGGCCGAGCGTCAACTGCTCGGTCAAGGCGCGCGAGCTGCGCAACCGCGTCTGGACGCGCCTGAAGTCGTAGGGCGCGCTCCGCCGTCGTCTCGGCGGCCCGGCTTTCGGGCTCCGTCCCGGGCGCCGGGCCGCCCCGTTGTTTTTCCGCCCTGTCCCAGCCGCCGCGAGGCCCCGAGCATGTCCGAGCAGCCCCCCGAGACCCTGACCCTCGCCCTCTGGGCGGTGAACCTGGCCAAGCCGCTGAACGGCATCGGCGCCTGGGCGGCGGCGGTCGAGGCGCAGATGGCCAAGGCGAAGGCGGAGGGCGCCGAGCTGCTGGTCATGCCGGAGTACATGTCCGAGCAGTGGCTGTCCTTCGCGCCGGAAGGGCTGGCGGCCGACGCGGAGATCGCCTGGATGGCCGAGCAGGCCGAGGCGGCGCTGGCGGCGATCGCCGAGCTGCCGGCGCGCTACGACATGGCGCTGCTGGCCGGCACCATGCCGGTCACGGCCGACCCCCGGCCGGCCAGCGGCCCGCCGCACGTCAACCGCGCGCACTTGCTGCTGCCCGACGGGCGGGTGATCCGCCAGGACAAGCTCTGCCTGACGCCCGGCGAGAAGGACCCGGACGCCTGGCACCTCAACACCGGCGAGACGCTGGAGCTGGTCGAGTGGAAGGGGATGAAGCTGGCCACGCTGATCTGCCTCGACGTCGAGCTGCCGGCGCTGTCCGGTCTGCTGGCGCCGGAGCAGCCGGACCTGCTGCTGGTACCCTCGATGACCGCCAAGCTGTCCGGCTATTCGCGGGTCTTCGGCTGCGCCAAGGCGCGCGCCGTCGAGCTGCAGGCCGCGGTGGCCGCCGTCGGCGTGATCGGCGCCGCCTCGACCAACAAGCCGCGCGAGACCAACACCTCCGGCTGCAGCGTCTTCCTGCCTTGCGAGGAAAGCCTGGGCTTCGTCGGGCTGCACGACCAGATCCCGCCGGTCGAGTCCTGCGACGACGAGGGGCCGATGCTGATCGCCCGCGACGTGCCGCTCGGCGAGATCCGCCGCCTGCGCGAGGGCGGGGCGGAGGTCTGGCCCGGCGCCTGGGTGGCCGATCAGGTCAAGCTGCACCGCGCTTGAGAACCGGCGACCGAGACCCCCAAACACGGCGGACGGGGCCCGAGGGACAGAGATGCTGACGATCTACAGCGAGGATCACAGGTTTCAGGACGGCAAGGCGGAGCTGATCGACGGCCAGCTCCTGCCGCCCTTCGAGATGCCGCGCCGCGCCGAGATGGTGCTGGAGCGCGTGCGCGCGGTCGGCCTGGGCGACATTCTGGAGCCGCAGGATTTCGGCCTCGGCCCGCTCGAGGCGGTGCACGACCCCCGCTACCTCTCCTTCCTGGCCTCGGCCTGGGGCGACTGGATCAAGACCGGACGCGAGCACGACGCCCTGCCGCTCAACTGGCAGATCCGCGGCATGCGCGCGATCGAGCCGGAGACGATCGACGGCAAGCTGGGCTACTTCTCCTTCGACGCCGGCACCCCGATCACCGCCGGCACCTGGCGGGCGGCGCGCGCCTCCGCCAACGTGGCGCTGACCGGCGCCTGGCGGGTCAAGGAGGGGCTGCGTGCCGTCTTCTCGCTGTGTCGGCCGCCGGGCCATCACGCCGCGGCCGACTACTACGGCGGCTACTGCTTCCTCAACAACGCCGCGATCGCCGCCCAGTGGCTGCGCGACAGCGGCGCGGACAAGGTCGCGATCCTGGACGTCGACTACCACCACGGCAATGGCACCCAGTCGATCTTCTACGACCGGCCGGACGTCTTCTTCGCCTCGATCCACGGGCATCCGCGCCAGGAGTTCCCCTACTTCCTGGGCTACGAGGACGAGACGGGCGCGGGAGCCGGCGCCGGGACCAACGCCAACTTCCCGCTCGACTGGGGCAGCGGCTTCGAGCGCTGGTTCGGCGCGCTGGAGGAGGCCGGCCGGCGCATCGCCCGGTTCGGGGCGGAGGTGCTGGTGGTCTCGTTGGGGGTGGACACCTTCAAGGAGGACCCGATCAGCCAGTTCCGCCTGGACAGCGACGACTATCCGCGCATCGGCAAGGCCATCGCCGAGCTGGGGCTGCCGACCCTCTTCGTCATGGAGGGCGGCTATGCCGTGGAGGAGATCGGCATCAACGCGGTCAACGTGCTGACCGGCTTCGAGGAGGCGGTCTGAGCCGGCCGGCGGTGTCGCCGCCTCTGGATTTTCCATCCGGAACGGCCATTTAGGGGTTCATGGATATCGCCAAGTACCTGCGCTGGATCCCGCACGAGGACTACCGCAACCCGCCGCCCGTGGTCGGCGTGATCCGCCTGAGCGGCCCGATCGGCCTGGGCTCGCCGCTGCGCCGCAGCCTCAGCCTGGCCGAGCTGGCCGGTCCCATCGAGCGCGCCTTCAAGCAGCCCCGGCTCGCCGCCGTGGCGCTGAGCATCAACTCTCCCGGCGGCGCGGCGGTGCAGTCCGCCCTGATCGCCAAGCGCATTCGCGACCTGGCCGAGGAGAAGGGGGTCAAGGTCTACGCCTTCTGCGAGGACGTCGCGGCCTCCGGCGGCTACTGGCTGGCCTGCGCCGCCGACGAGATCTACGCGCACGAGAGCTCGCTGGTCGGCTCCATCGGCGTGATCGCCGCCACCTTCGGGTTTCAGGACGCCATCGCCAAGCTGGGCGTCGAGCGGCGGCTCTACACCGCCGGCGACAAGAAGTCCCTGCTCGACCCCTTCCAGGCAGCGCGCGACGAGGATGTCGAACGCCTCAAGGGCCTGCAGGGAGAGATCCACGAGTCCTTCAAGGCCTACGTCCGCGCCCGCCGCGGCGAGCGCCTCACGGCGGCGGAGGCGGAGCTCTTCTCCGGCGAAATCTTCACCGGTCGCACGGCCCAGGAGCACGGCCTGATCGACGGCCTGGGCGATCTGCGCGGCATTCTGCG